TATTCCACGTGTGAAAACACAAAAGGCATTTCAGCAACTCCGCACAACTAATTTACCAACCATTCACAACGCGGCCGCAACGTACTCTGTAGGCAGCGCATAAGCTTACGGCTAGTGTGAATCACCACACTCAAGGACAAACATAGATAAGACTTGTCAGCTGACAGGTACAGTGTGTGGACCCGCCAGAAGACCACACTTTTCTCAGGCCATTATCTCCGTAACCATTCAACTTTGGACATATTTGGGTTTTATCGGCATACTTTACCATAAGGAACACCCTCCCGAAGTCTGGCACATTCCTCCTGGGACACCCTGTATATGTAGCAGATTTACTGGGCAAGTGGAAATATTCTGGCAGTCACAAGTTTCAAAGTGATGAGGTGGAAACAGCAATGAAACTACAGTTAAGTGAAAGGACACAGATTTCTAAAAACAGGGAATAACAAAACTTATCCCAACAATATCATAAGTGTCCAAATTCTTGTGGAGACCATGTCAAAAATTAGCTGAATGCCAATAAAATTATCATGCATTTTTTATATAGGCAACTGCAACAAAAAATCTAACTATACACTCTGTAAACTTAACTTCCAAATGACCTTCAGAGACATGCTCATCTGCATGGGCCCTTCACGCACGGCTCTTTGCTCAAGGTAGAATCATACAAAACTCTGCCTGAACACTGTGGCATGCACACCTAGTGAAAAGCATATCCTCTTTGCTGGACTCACCTCACACAGACCTTCCAACCATTCCAGTCCCATCTGCATATCAGACTAGTCCTACAGACCACAGGGTCACTGACCATGCTGATATGACATCCATTTTAAATGAAGTCCCAAAAGCTTTTATTTTGGATCTCAACAGTAAAGAAAGGTGAAGCTGGTAGCAGCATGCAGAGAGTAGATGAAGTGTGAGCAAGCATGCTGGCAGCCAAATGGATGAGATGGTGTGTGCAAGGAACTGAACCAGTCTGGTGTAAAACTCTATCTACAATACTCCTGTATTACACACATACGTAATGCACTCCTCCAAGCTCAGATATTTTAAGGGATTCTGGTAAAACACTATGCCTAAAGAAATAGTGAGCTGTAAGACCTGCTCAGAAAGTCCCTCTATACATCACTTCTGTTGCTGAAAATTTATCTTTCTACAGTCTATGAAGGGCATTACAATCTGATAGTTTAATCCACTGAGAGTTAATACATGGCAAATTTCCATCGCTGTACACACTTTCATTCTCTATTTTACAGCAAAAAAATGACAGAAGGCTGATTACATCAGTCTCATTCCATAACAAAGTGAAAAGAATGAAATAGTACAAGGGCGAGAGAAGCCATGTCCTCACTAATGCTGCGGAGGAAATGAAATTATTCTCTCAACTCTTAAAAATTATTTAGTCTGGAGTGCAAGTACAAAAAGAAAATCAAAGGTCAATGTATTAAAAGGAATACAGAAACTTACTGGAATCCCAAGATGCTCTTGGTCTAAATTCATCAGTTTCATTTCATAATCTGACACTTTCTCTTGATTTGGGGACTCAAAAACAAAAGTAACAGTGTCGGCATTGTCCTGCGCCTTCATTGTTACAACATCCTCATTGGCAGCACACTTAAGGATCTTGGTCATACTGTAATGAAGATAAACAGATTTAAAACTTCAAGCTGTTATGAGGTTACATATGAAGGAATAACAAATTGTGACCCTTCCAATGCTGACACATGAAACCAGGTATCTATATGGTTAACAACATGCCAAAAAGATATATGAGGGAGTGGAGACAAAATTCCACACCTTCTTAATTTTGACACTACGTACATAGGTCGTACCAAAAGTCAAGAGCAACTTTTTTTTTGCATGCAACCTGGGAACACCAGATGAAAGTGAGTAGGGTGGTAGGTGGAATAAGCTGTTGTGTTAACTTTGAGTGTCTGGCGACGTCAACAGCTTGCATCATGTGACCAGCATCACTCCTAACAAAATGGCCGACAACAATATGTCGTTTCACCTGCGTGCTGTCATCGAATGTCTTGTGAAAGAGGAAATCCCTGCTGCAGAGATTCACCAGAGACTTCAGCATGCTTATGGAAGTGTGTGCATGGGTGTGAGCAGTGTTCAAAGATGGGTGAAACATTTTAAAGATGGGAACACCAGCATTGAAGATGAGCTTCGGAGTGGTCGTTCTCGAACAGCCTCATGGAAAGAGTGGACGAGATCATTGAAGATGACAGGCGTGTGACTGTGGACACAATAGGCCGAAAACTTGGAACAAGGCACAGTGCAGTACAGGAGATGACGGAAAGCTTAGGCTATAGGAAAGTTTGTCCTCGTTGGGTCCCGCGGTTATTGACCGAAGACAACAAAGGTCAGCGAAAAGCCATCACCTCAGAACTGCTGTAGAGATATCAACACGAACGTGATGATTTTTTGCTCTGTATTGTGACAGGTGATGAAAGCTGGTTTCACGATTTTGAGCCTGAAACGAAACGGCAGAGTATGGAATGGCACCATTTGCATTCTCCATCAAAAAAGAAGGCAAAGACAGTGCCATCAGCTGTGAAGGTGATGGGCACAGTCTTCTGGGATGCAGAGGGTTTTATTCTGGCTGAATTCCTGGAACCTGGGTAAACCATCAATGCTGCTTGTTATGTTCAGAAGCTGCACAAACTCCATCGTGCATTTTGCAATAAATGTCCGGGACGAAACATCATCATCCTGCATGACAACGCTTGCCCCCATGCCGCTCGCCTCACATTGGAAGCAATTGCAAAGATGGGGTGGGAACTTCTTCCACATCCCTCCTATAACCCTGATCTGGCACCCTCCGCCTACCATCTCTTCAGATTTGTGACAGATCAGCTGCATGGACAACATTTTGAGACAAGGGAGGCAATTCAGAAAGCAGTGCGTCAGTGTCTTTGGATGGCTGAAACGGAATTTTACAAAATGGGAATTTTCAAACTCCCAGAATGCTAGGAGAAATGTGTACAAAGAAGTGGCAATTATGTGGAAAAATAAAGAAAGGTCTGTAGATTGAGGAGCTGTATTTGGTTTGTCAATCATAAAGCATGTTACTTTACAAGAAATTGTTGCTCATGACTTTCAGTACGACCCTCGTAGATACAGCAGTCAGCTTTAGGCAACTGCCACTTCTCTGTAAACAAGCCCCTAGTACCCATTTGAGAGTGCTCTGGGTAGGCAAGACAGAAATTCTAAACATGATGATGAATTCTTGGAACCAAACACCAGTTGCCTGGCCCAGTTGCTTTATTATGATCACATCTTAAATATTAAAAAACATATGTACATATGCTACTAGCCAGAAACTGTGAAGGTAAATGCATATTACGAATAATTACAATTTAATAGTAAACAAGCAGAATGGAACTGGTTTATATACATTCATTCATTCATTCATCAGTAATCTGTCAAGACGACAGGTCCATAGTCTCTTCCAAAACAGTTCCTCCACTTGATGCGATCTAGAGCTTTCTCCTTCAACTATATACATATTCTGTTTTTATACAATTAACTCTCCTACTGTAATTCAGTCTGAAAACTAATTTCACATTATCCCAACTATTTCAAACTCTACAGTTCATTCAAATTGGGACTGGACATCACAAAGCACAGTAAAAGAGGGATATTAGATGTGGTCAATTTTCGAAATGTAGTTACAAGTGAACCACTTGCCTTACTCTACTCAAAACTGGGTTTTCCCAGTGAAGTATATTGTTAGCATTCACTCCAAAATCTTTCCTAGAGAAAACCTCTACTCCCTCTCAACAAGTCAAATTCTGATGGAGCATATGTTCTCTGTATGGTGATTTGACATATCACATATCCAAAACCAGTATACTAGTCAGTATGCCCGGGAAGAACAGAACTGTTAGTAGCAATGCAACTTCAACTCACACTTATTTGAATGCATGTCCTTACCTGCCCAAATTCATGCCCATGGAAATATTCCTGTCACATCTGTACTTGTCAAATCCATCGCTTCTTAGATTCATGGAAACTAAGCTAACATGGGAATTGTCCATCGCCTGAAGTTGAATGCCGGAATCGGAACAATCAAATGTTGCTTCATTAAGTAAGTCTTTTATGGCCTCCAAAACTTTCTTAAGGATCGAACTTTGTACAAGGCGTGCTTCGAACATATTGTTTTCTTATAAGCGACTATCGAATCGGACCTAAAACTGATACAAATCACACACACCTACTTCGCGTCTACCTGCTACAACGTGCTACGATCTGCTATAAATACACCGAAAAACACAAAGATGAAGGATTCCGCGCCCAAACTCCGCAATGAATGTTCCTCTTTCCTTCTGATTGGTGGACTATATCGACAGCGATCGACGGGATACATACGGGCGCCAAAATTTTATGAGATCGAGATTCTGCCTGAACATCGATTTGAAACATTTGAACTGTGATAACCGAGACAAAATTTATTGCAGAATTCTACTTTCCAGGATATACTGCCGTGTACTTCGCCGAAGTCAACCGAAGTTCAGGTCGAAAATGTCGCCACAACATTCGGTATCAATGACGAAGATACCAACATTAAGCACATGGCTAGTTCAGCAGGGCACTAGCGACATCTTAATCCCGGATCCGACAGTTACTTGAAGTACTTGAACTAGGTACATTCAAATTATTCCAACTATTCCCAAAAGATGTCGCATAATCGGCCCAGACCCTTGTGTATCAAACCATCACCTCTCACTTAGACCGCGCTGGCGGGAAATTTGGTTGTCTTAACAGTACGTAGCCTCGAACATGGCCTCGGTCGAAACAACGTTAAATACTGTCAAACTTCCCTCATTCCGCCATTCTACACTCATATGAATCATGTTCACACGGAACGACCATCACATTTGATCAACATGTCAAAGATAAAAGTAAAGTAAAGCTATCCCTGTACCAGGCCGTGAAGGCCCATAGGGTTGTGGGACGTTGAGGATCCCACACGATCTAGACCAGCGTTGGCCAACCTAATACATCTCGAGGGCCAAATTTCGTTTATAGAACACCATCAGGGGCCAGATACGGTATTTCTTTCAGAAGAGTGGTCGGGGAGTATTGCCCCCCAAACTGAATCAGTCACAACCCGTATAAAAACAGTGCATTTAAACCTATGCATTTAAATTTTACGTTGCACCAATAATATTAAGCCGATATTGAAAATTTCACCAATCGATTTTATTGCCTTCTATCACTTCTACCCCCAGAGCATTTTTTCTTAAAGAAACACTGGCCAGATCATGTCTTATGTTTAGTTTTATATATGCCGGGGGAAAATGCAATTATAATTTAAGAAAGAAAAATAAAATGCCTTGAAATGTGCAATTACTTACCATAAAACAGCACAAATTCCTCTTTCAGCAGGGATGAGCACAAAAGACTTTCAATCATAGTTTTTATGGTCTAATGATTATACCTAAATCCTCATATACACACTGTTTTAATGAGAGCACTGTGGTTTCATAAAACTGGAAACCAATGATATAAAATCCACTTCTAATTGTGAGGTTGCCACTCGAAGAATATGTGATAACACGACATCTGAAAGTCTGTTCCTGTTCTTAGACTTTACATGCTTCAGCGATGAAAACGCTGTCTCGCATATGTAAGTACTTGCAAAAACAGAGCAAAGTTTGAGAGCCCAATTTCGTAACAGTGGGTAACGTTCTGGTGAAAGCAGTTTCCAAAAGTCAATTCCAGTAACCTGAGATGTGTTTAAGGATGGGTCACATTGAAGTTCACAAAGCTCTAATTGCAGATGACCTGGCTGAGATTCTATATCACAATGTATAGGATTACTGAATAAAGAAATATCAGGTCGAAAGCTTTCAAAATCGTTAAATCGTCGGTCGAACTCTGAAGACAAATCTTCAATAATTTCACTGTAGTCCCTAAACTCCAAGCCTCCTCCTTCTTCTTCTTCTTCTTCTTCTTCTTCTTCTTCTGAGAGTTTCCGACAGCAAGGGAAATGTAGAAGGTTATTTTTGTCCAATGCAGACTTAAATAAATGTAGCTTTTTACGGAAACTGTCAACAAAGCCAACCATCTGACATATTGTCTGCTTCTTGCCTTGCAATTGCAGATTCAGGACATTCAAGTGTTGAGTGATATCAGTGAGAAAGGCCAAGTTTCTCAAGAATTCGACGTCTTCGAGATCATTCTGCAGTTCAGCAGAATTCGTAACCTCTTCTCTTAGGAATGTTGCTATTTCATGACGGAGTTCAAAGAACCGTACCAGACATTTCCCACGGCTTAACCATCTTACTTCAGTGTGCAGAAGCAGGTCCCCGTAAGCAGAATCCATTTCTTCCAAGAGGGTCAGAAATTTTCTGTGAGTGAGTGATCGATTTCCTCCTCTGATCAAATTAGTAATTTTTGTGACAGTAGCCATGGTGGTAGACAGTTTAATTGATTTGGCACATAGAGCCTCCTGATGTATAATACAATGCAAGGTAGGTACAGTAATTTGATTCTGTCTTAAAAATCCAACAAAACCGCTTATTGTCCCTGTCATTGATTTAGCGCCATCTGTTACTATGGAGGACAATTTTTCAAAACCACCGAATTCCTCCACTGCACTCTTAACAGCGTTAAAAATATCGACACCTCTAGTTGTGCTGTGTAAAGAGCACACTTTTAACAACTCTTCGAAAATTGTAAAATCTTCCTTAATTGCACGAACAAATATCAGCAACTGATTAGTATCCGAAACATCTGTGCTTTCGTCGAGAGCAATTGAGAAATAGGAACAATTAGCGATAATGTCTTTCACATTATTAGATATCTGGTTGCTAATATCTTCCAGCCTCCTAGTAACAGTCTGTTTTGAAAGGGGCACTGTTTGAAATTTGTTTCCTACCTTATTTTCATTGAAAGCTTCTGCCATCTTTATCGCACAGTTCTTAATTAATTCACCATCACTTAACGCTTTTTTAGCTTTCATTAATTCATATGTCACGAAATAAGAAGCCAGCAAAGCTTCTTCTTGTTGTTTTGTTTCATTGGTAAAAAGAGATTTCTGCTGGAAAAGTTTTTTCTTTAACTGATCGCAGACTACTTTCCTTGATTCACAAGAGTGTTTTCCGAACTTCTGTTTATGATTTGTCATGTAATGCCTCTTTAGGTTGTACTCCTTTAAAACTGCTAGCACTTGAAAACATACTAAACACTGTGGCTTGTGGTCTTTATTTAATATAAAAAAATAGTCATGTTCCCACTCAGATTTGAACGCCCTATTTTCGCTATCAACTTTTCTCAATTTACTATTTGACATGCTGTATCACTCACAATAACTTCAAACACAATTTTAATTTAAAAACAGTTCTACACTCACACTCCGTAATCACACTTCACTTTCTAAAATCGCACTAACTGGGTGACATTTCTGCTAAAACTGGCACTTAACAAAGGCCAGGATGCCAAGAGAAACGGTAAACATCCCATCGCCATGAGCAAGCTGGGAATGGTTATTATTTTGAAGGTGTCATAAATCCTTCACCACTACGGTCTTCCCTTCAGTGTCATCTCCCTACAGAAGTAGGGTTGGGGAACTTTGAATTTCCATGACATGAACACAGTTATTAGAAAACCGTTTGAACTGTCCAACTCAGTAAGAACGTATACAGTCAACTGCAAAATGCTGTAAGCTAATGAAACGTCCTATTAAAAACTGAATTCTATGCCAATACAGCTGTGAATTTAAGATTTTTGAAAATAAACCTGAGACTTGGCAGGGGGCTGGAGTAAATCAAGTCGCGGGCTGGATGGGCCGCCAGTTGGCCATCGCTGATCTGGACAATCGGCTCAAAGATGGCGGTAAGGTTGTCAACCTTACGCGCAGGCCACGCTTTACTCCCCACGAAAATTACTTAATTCCTTGTACTCATTTCTGTTAGAGGCTGAGTAAACCCCAGGGCCTAGTGCGGCTGGAAGGATTAGGTCAACTGAAAAAATCCAATGACCACATCTGGACTTGAACCCGCGCCCTTCCGGCTTGTAGCATAGCCCCCCAATCAACTACGCTACCCCATGTCCCAAAAATATTAGAAATGACGTTTAACAAACAACAGTGAAATATCAGGGTATTATTTACGCAGATACTAATTTTTCACACAAAGCATATCACCAAACAAAATTGCTAATCATGTAATAAGAAGATTTGAGGTACTCACGGCGGTGACTATGAGGAAAGCAGTCTTCTGGGATGTGGCGTTAACCGACGTTTCAGAGGAACGTATCGCTGTGTGGTGGCGCCCGCACCTCCATAGGTATCAGTGAATTGTGCCCCGAGTACATAAGAACGTTGGACAGCACTGCTTTACAGGTTGCCAAAGATCCACAAGCATGACGTTCCACTAAGGCCCATTGTGAGCACTATTGGCTCTCCTATCTATCGCCTGGTCTACTTAGCACATACACTGGCAACTGTCCACACCACATGAGTAACACCATGGAATTTGTCCACACATTGGGCTCTCTCCATGTCGATCCCCACGACATAATGGTCAGTTTCGATGCAGTGTCACTCTTTACCAGGGTGCCTGTAAAGGATACTATGGATCTGCTAGGATGACATTTTGAAGAACATATTGTCACGTATCGGGCGTATATCGCGACAAATAACTTCTCGATGTATTTTATATCGCGAATTTTATTTCACATTCGCACTTACAATCATCCAAATTACAGATTTACGATTACTGCTATCTGCAGTATCACAGTTAGTACACTCCAAATGCCAGAATACAACTGACTGGCTGACTCTACGTCTCGACTCGGCGACTGTTACTTTATAACTCAGTACAACTGACTGTGAATAGCCTTCGCTGCGCCTCATGTAGCCTCGATCGGACCATACGGAAAACGGCCGTGTAATAGGCACCCTTTTTGCCTGGCGCTGTGTTGCTATGTAACGCTAGCGGAGGTAACCGCTGTTACTATCGTAACGTCGCCGCTGTTGACTCGCGTTGCCTAGCGACCGCGATATCCCTCGGTGACGTCACCGCGGAGGGGAGTGGCGGGGCGGGAACTCGCCTATTACCGTAGTAACGCGAGCGTTACGTTACCGCCACGTACCGCTGGGGAGGTAGGGGTCAACATGTCACAATATCTTGAGACTCTTCAGTCATGTCCTGACCACCTCATACTTCAACTTCAATGGCCAGTTCTATGAACAAACCGATGGTGTGGCGATGGGCTCGCCACTCTCTCTGGTCATCTCTAACCTACATATGGAGGACTTTGAGGAGAGGGTACTTGGCTTTGCCCCACAGAAGCCCTGCTGCTGGTTTTGCTACGTGGACAACACCATCATCTGGCCACATGGGCCCGACAAGCTTAAGGACTTCCTGAACCACCTAAACATTATCCACCAGTGCATTCAGTTCACAATAGAGACTGAAACTGAGGGCCACCTCCCCTTCCTGGATATAGATATTTAAAGGAGACCCGACGGTTCTCTGGGCCATAGAGTGTACCGCAAATCCACCCATACAAACCTCTACCT